ATATATATATATATATATATATATATATATATTTTATTTACTAATGCACAATATCCAACCAAAATTATAGTCTGAAATATTTTTCTGTACTTTTTCAAAAAAAAAAAAAAATTAATGCTTATACTTCATTCGACTTAATGTTTCGTTCCCTTTATTTATTTATTAGTTTATTTATTTATTTATTTTTTTCTTTTTTTTTTTTTGTATTCAGAAATCGACACGACTATTGAGGCACAAAGAGAGATAAACAAATAAATATGAATAAGTATATAATAGATTTGGAATGCGACCTTTAATTCTGTAAACAGTGATTTGGTGTAAGACAATCGTATTTCTGTTTGCTTGGGAAAGGTACGATTTAAAGAAATCTGTTTTCTTTGACAAACCCTTCTTTTCCACGTTCTGCTGAAGATGCGAATGCTACGGTTATTCCGTTTTCAGATTATACAGTGCTCACTTGTAAATGTCCTTGGCAGTTAAAAAGTAGTTTTAACAAGAACGTAAGGTTCCGTCAATGGAGTAGATATCTTTTTTTGAAACTGCATTTGCGTTTCAAAAAAAAAAAAAAACTAACACATGACTATGCGATAGGTACGCTATTTTAACACTCAAAAGTCTATCACAGACTAAACGGGTGATGCAAAAAGTAGCAAGAGATGTGGAAATTTTTTATCCATAAACAGCAAACGAACAAATGGTTCGATTTATGTATTCTTCCTGTAGCATCCTTGAGTGGCTTCCTGAACCAGGATTACATAATGTTCAAAAGCATCGCCAATCAGAGCACTGCAAGGATTATTATAGTAGAAGAATACTCGCTTTTAACAGTCAGCGCTGAGCCAAGTACCCGAGGGAAAAGTGATTTATAAAAAAGTAGTGTGCTTTAAATGCATAGAATGAATAATATAATTATTTTTCAGAAAATTTTTTTAAAATTACTCAACAGTAAAAAAGTTTTTGATTAGGTGTCAGTTGCTAAACTAGCTAAAGTAAAGCATTTTGTAGTATAATAATAGCTTAGTTGATTGCAGAGTGACATTTACAGTGTTGCAAGAATACCGCACGATGTGGGCTTCTACAGTTTAAACTTACAAATGTTATTGTAACTCGTGATATCATCGAAACGTCATCTTATTAGGGCCTGTAATTTACATGTGAATTATATATCTGCATACAATATACTCTCTTTTTCAAAAATCAAAGGTTCACATTTTCAGAATTCAATGTTTTAATTTTTGCTCTGACCTTTACTTTTCGTTCATCTGCATTTTGCACTTTACTATGCATTTTACTTATTTTC